CTATGGGGGGGTTTGGGGGGACACAGGACCCTATGGGGGTCCTATAGGGGTATTAAGGATCCACAGGGAGATTCTGGGGGGGTGGGACCCTGTTGTGGTGGCCCTTGAGGTGTCCCCATACTCATGGTATGGCCCTTGGGGTGTCCCTATGGCCATCATATGAATCTGGTGGTGTCCCCATGGCCATGGGATGGCCCTTGGGGTGACCCCATGACCATGGGATGGCCCTTGGGGTGTCCCTATAATGATGTTATGGCCCTTGGGGTGTCCCTATAATGATGTTATGGCCCTTGGGGTGTCCCCATGACCAAGATATGGCCCTTGGGGTGACCCCATGATGATGCTATGGACCTTGGGGTGTCCCCATGGCCATGGGATGGCCCTTAGGGTGACCCCATGATGATGTTATGGCCCTTGGGGTGTCCCCATGGCCATGGGATGGCCCTTGGGTTGTCCCTATAATGATGTTATGGCCCTTGGGGTGTCCCCATGACCATGTTATGGACATTGGGGTGTCCCTATAATGATGTCATGGCCATTGGGGTGTCCCCATGACCATGGGATGGACCTTGGGGTGACCCCATGATGATGTTATGACCCTTGGGGTGTCCTCATGGCCATGGGATGGCCCTTGGGGTGTCCTCATGGCCATGGGATGGACATTGGGGTGTCCCTATAATGATGTCATGGACCTTGGGTTGTCCCCATGGCCATAATTTGGACCTTGGAGTGTCCCTATGATGATGCGGTGTCCCCATGGCCATGATATGGCCCTTGGGGTGACCCCATACTCATGGCATGGACCTCTTGATGTCCCCATGATCATGGGATGGACCTTGGGGTGTCCCTATAATGATGTTATGGACCTTGGGGTATCCCCATGACCACACTATGGCCCCAGCGGTGCCCCCATGGCCATGTTATGGACATTGGGGTGTCCCTATAATGATGTTATGGACATTGGAGTGTCCCCATGATGATGTTATGGACCTTGGGGTGACCCCATGACCATGGGATGGCCCTTGGGGTGTCCCCATGATGATGATACGGACATTGAGGTGTCCCCATGATGATGCTATGGCCCTTGGGGTGTCCCCATGCCCATCATATGAACCTGGTGGTGTCCCCAGGGCCATGGGATGGACCTCTTGGTGTCCCCACGGCCATGATACAGCCCCAGTGGTGTCCCCACGGCCACGCTATGACCCTGATGTGTCCCCACGCCCACACCGCAGACCCCAAAAGTCCCATGGGGGGGTTCAGGGTGGGGGGTCCCCTCA